TGGGGATCTCCCACAAGAATTCTCCCCTCTCCCTCCTCGCTTCTCCCTTACTCCACCTGCCTCCTCCTCCCACGCAGCTTCTCCCTTTCCGCCTCCTCCTTCTCCACCACTCTCCGCCTCCCCTTCTTCCACGCAGCTTCTCTCCCTCCCTCCTCTCCAGCCACCTCTCGCCTTCTCCTCCCTTCCTCAGGTCGTCCACGTCAGCCTTTCTCCCCTCCTCCCTCCACTGCACTTCTCCCTTCGGGTCGCCGTCTTGCCTCCTCCATCTCAGCTTCTCCCTTCTCCTCCCTGCCTCTCTCTTCGCTCCTACGACAGCTCTTCCGCTCTCCACCTTCTCTCACGCAGCCTCTCCCCCTCTTCTTCTACCACCAGCTCTCCCTTCTCCCGCCTTCCTCCTTCTCGTACAGTCTTCTCCCTTCTCCTTCCCACCAGCTTCTGCTCCCGGCCGTCGCTGCCTCTTCACAGCTTTCTCCACTCCTCCACTTCTCTTACCATACCCGCGTTTCTCCCGTTCCCCCCCTGCCTCACTCCTCTCCCCACTTCTCCCTTCCTCGCCCCCTACCTCCTCCACCTAAGCTTCTCCTCCTCCTGCCATCCCACCAGCTTCCCCGTCTCCCCCTCCATTCCTTCCTCGCATCCAGCTCTCACCCTGCTCTTCTCCACCAAGCTTGCTCCCCTCCTCCTCCTCCCACCAGCTCTTCCGTTGGCTTCTCTCCGCCTCCTGCCTCCTTCCAGCTCTAGCTGGTGTCTAGCTCGAAGTGGGAAATTGCCATATTGAGGCATATAGTGCGAATTGGCGTCATGCGCAATTACGCAATCCTATTATCCTATATCATAGGGGGTGCGGGCTATCTCAGGATTATTCTCGCAAGTCCCCCGCCAGAGAAATTCGCGCTACAGCAGCCGGACTCCCGCTAAGCTTATCTCGAGCGCGCTCAGTGCTAGACTGCGCTCGCGTGGCCCCAAGCAATAACCCGGTTCCGGCCGGTGCCGGTCCGCGTGCGGTCGTACAGTTATAAGCCCCAGGTCACACCGCAGGGCCCCTACTCAACTACGCGCGGTACTCACGCTCTAAGATCGTGGTGAAAACGGTGTAGAACGCAAGGTTGAACGTTAATGGACGTACTGGCGATGCAAGTGATCGTGCGCGGTGCAGTCAGCATCGAGCGTGGGATCGGTGGCCAAGTCTTTGAACATGTTCAACATAATCGTGGTTCGCGCGTGGGCGGAAATACAGGTCGCAGTGGCGGGCGTATAAGCAGACGTGGAAGGCCGTAGTACCCACGTAACTCGAGCGTAGTAACGAAACTAATGGGTCGTTATCGCAAGCGTGTCGGGTGCGGTGGAAAATTATCGCCGCTGTTCCCAGCACGACGTCAATGACGTTCATGACGTGTGTTAATTGGGGCTGCTAGCCTCTGGCCCAAGTCGCCACCGAGTTCAGTGTCACTATTGACACAAGGACAACACGACTCCAAGCCATTTTTCTCGTCAGAAAACTCGAACTACTTGATTGCCAGAGCCCCATGCAATGCTGGAGGAGGACGAGGAAATAAATAAGAGACAATCAAAGGATGCTTGGGCGGCTCTCCTCTTGACTGTGTGCGGAGTAGTTGTGTCCGTAGAAAATAATCTGAATGTTAATTAATCTATGATTTAAATAATCTGATTTAAAGTTGACTAATGTATCTAATAATATCCTGGATTTAATTTTGACCAGGCCACGGCAGAATGAATGTGATGTATAGAATCGCGCCGGTATTTTATGATCGGTTGCGCAGCGCAGTCGTGCGCGTGATTGGCTGCGCAGTTGGAGGCGCGGTGAGTGGCGTTGCTAAGGCACAGTGAAGCGTCGTCGAACGCAAGCACTATCTGATTGGTCGCAATAATGACTGCAGTCCCGGCTGCCTCCGTGTCACTACGGTTATGCGTCCCCGTAGTAGGTGGTTGTCAGACCGAGGGGTGACTGTTGATTCGTGGAGTGCAAGCCATATAATGGTAGCTAATTCGCTTTCTATCAGTCTATTCTCTTGCCATGGTGGGTAATGATTCCATGCAGTCTGTAGTTCCCGGATAATGTTATCGTGCCATGGTGATTCTTGGTGCGGTAAGGTAACCCTGGATGTCGTGTGTGTCACGACTGTCCTCGGTAGATTATTCTCTGGGTTATTGTCAGACCGAGTGTTTCAGGGCTCGCCATAGCATTTCAGGAGGCTATGCTGTCTGTTCCGCCCGGGTTGCGGCGTTTTGGTCAGCGAGACAGACCTTGTGATGCCGATATATCCGGTGTGTTTCCCTCTTCCGGGGTGGTTTCTGATAACACTACCTCACCTTGCTTGAGCGCTTGGTAGCGGTGTAAGCTGCGGCTGGACTGGTTCTCAGACGTGTGGTTTTCCGCTATGGTTCTGAGCATCTTTGAGCATCCGGAGCTCCGTGGGGGCCAAGATGACAGTCTCTCGCCAGTAGCTTGTTTCGGGCGGACTTATAGGGGCTCTCGGGGTTCTTGATCCGTGGTTAACGTAGATATCGGGGGCCACGGGGCCGGCCATATTGCGGGGTAGGGACGGGGTGCGGGTTCCATACTGCTACGGACCCGTGTCGGTCGGCCAAGCGACGACTCCCCTCCGGTCCGTGGAACGTTGCACCGCACTGATTCGGGCATCTGTTAGGGAGCACCCGAGGTAGTTGCGTCACGTGTGTTCTCTAGCCGGCTGGTACCGCGCTACTCACCCACGGGCATTCAGAATTATTACCCTTGATCGGAACGAATTTGGGGTTTGTTCCCCATTAGTGTCGGAGTTTCTCTTACAAAAATAATCTATAGATTACCTATAGGTTTACCTATAAGACGGTCTATAGGAATCTATAGGATTCTATTAGATATCCTATAGGAAATCGTATTGGTAATCTTATAGTTTCTATAGGATCCTATAGGAATTAACCTATAGGATGTTATAGGATCCTATAGGAATTAACCTATAGGATGGTAGAGGATCCTATAGGAATTAACCTATAGGATGTTATAGGATCCTATAGGAATTAACTTATAGGATGTTATAGGATCCTATGGGAATTATGTTCCAATTCTCTATAGAATCCTATAGGAACGAGCTGTCATTGGTCGGGTCGGGGCGGGGCGGGGCTATATCAGATATTTTGCACTCGTCAGATATTTCGCGCGACACCGGGGGGCGGAGATACGGCCGTTTCAACGCCTCCGGGCACAACAGGTGAGTGAGAAACACTAAGGTTGCTGCTAGTCACTAGGTATCGACCGGTGGCGCCATCGCGTGTCGCCGGGAGATCACGAAACGCTACACTGGTGCCGTGCCAGTGACCAGTGTAACTTCAGCTACACTGGTCTTGCCAGTTGCAGACTCTTTGTAATAGTGGTTGCATTTGGTGCCGTGGTTTGCCGGTTGTGTGTTAGTCGTAGGGTGGTTTTGTTAGTCGACGCTTGACGGGAGGGCGGCGTGAGATGCCGCCTAATGGTGCCGCTCGTGGGAGGCGACATCTAAGCGTGGTAATTCACCTGACCTTGATTTTTACAGGGTCGGTGTCCAGACACGGGTTGGTGGACCGGTGGGGGTTAGTTTGACTCCGAAATCGTCCCTTACTCCAAGTAAAGGGTGGGAGTTGGTAAATACTTCCCCATGTCGTCGTGAGTCGGTCACTTTGTTGGCTGCGGTGGTTGCCGTCGGTGGCTCGGCTGTTTGCCCTGCTCCACGCACCATGCGTGTTTCTGGGTGGGTCAGTGAGGACCCATTTTCTGCTCGCATAAGGCAAGTAGACGATATGGCGGGTTTCGGGCACCGTGAGGGTAGCCCTGTGCCCTCTCACCGATAGGGAGGGCCACACACAAGCTCTGGGGGACGGTTAACAGCGAGAGTTCGCGTTCACCTTTCCGATGTGGAGGTCGTGAGAGGAAGGTATGGTTAGTTTACCCCCCTCATGGGAGATTTTCTGAGGGATTATGGGTTTTCCTCAGAAATCTGGTGTAGGTATGGTTAAGGGGAGCCCTTCTCGGGTAAAGCTGTTACTCGATTGGGAGGCTCCTACAGCGGTTGATTGGGTCAGCTAGATCTCTTTGCTGGGGCAAGGTTGATAATGAGCGACGAGATAACGGTTGGTGGGTTTAAGCTTCCCCAGATGATGTAGTGAGGGTTGTTACCGTAGATATCCTGAATGTCTACGAAGGTGCGAGTGCGCCAGTCTCCTGGTTGGGAGATGGGGCTAATGGTGTAGACGCAGAGGTGGTTGGTGGGTCTGGTGGTCCGGGGAACGTGGCGGGTCATAACGCGTTTGATCCGCTCGGCACGGATTCCCAGGTATTGGTTGACACAGGGTCGGACGGGGTTGATGGCTCAGGATTTTCTCGTTCTAGCCTCAAGACACAAGCGGTGAAGTTGGGGCAGGTGGTTGGCCCTCAGATTGGTACTGGGGAAGTTACTGTTAAGCCACTGGTAGCTGGGCAAGCGAGGGACCGTTTGGGTGGTTTTGTGTTCTCTAACCCAGTGCCTCGTGCACCGGGTAAGAGGTTAGTGAAAGCTCCGTGTCACTACGGTTATGCGTCCCCGTAGTTGTGGTTGTCAGACCGAGGGGTGACTGTTGGTTTGTGGGGAGCAAGCCATATAATGGTAGCTAATTCGCGTTTGTGCCGCGGCAGTCTATTCTCTTGCCATGGTTGGTAACGATTCCATGCAGTCTGTAGTTCCCGGATAATGTTGTCGTACCATGGTAATTCTTGGTGCGGTAAGATAACCGGTAAGGTTCAGCTAAAAAAAAACTAAAACTGCCTGACTTTACCCAAGCTAGGTCACACTCCATGGCTAGCTATAGCCCAAACTATGGCAATCAAGCAACAAGATTTCTCTGCGGCCGTCTCAGCTAAACTGTGCCGTCGATCAACAAGACTTCTCTTGCCAAGGGACGCTATCCTGCGCCATATAGCGTCGTCATCGTAGGCGTAGCCTCGCAGTTTAATATATAGGAGCCTATATATATATATATATATATTCTGTGTAATGCCCGTTTCGGTCTCCTAGGCAATTATTATTATTATTATTTATATTATTATTATTATTTATTAAGGTAACCCTGGATGTCGTGTGCGTCATGACCGTCCTCGTAAATTATTCTCTGGTTATTGTCAGACCGAAGTGTTTCAGGGCTCGCCATAGCATTTCAGGAGGCTATGCTGTCTGTTCGCCCGGTTGCGGCGTTTTGGTCAGCCGACAGACCTTGTGAGATGCGATATATCCGGTGTGTTTCCTCTTCGCGGGGTGGTTTCTGATAACACTACCTCACCTTGCTTGAGCGCTTTGTAGCGGTGTAAGCTGCGGCTGGACCTGGTTCTCAGACGTGTGGTTTCCGCTATGGTTCCTGAGCATCTTTGAACATCCGGAGCTCGTGGGAGGGCCAGGATGACAGTCTCCTCGCCAGTAGCTGTTGTTTCGGGCGGACTTATAGGGGCTCTCGGGTTCTTGATCCGTGTTAACGCAAGATATAGGGGGCCACGGGCCGGCCATATTGCGGGGTAGGGACGGGGTGCGGGTTCCATACTGCTACGGACTCCGTTGTCGGTCGGCCAAGCGACGACTCCCTCCGGTCCGTGTGAACGTTGCACGCACTGATTCGGCATCTGTTAGGGAGCACCCGAGTAGTTGCGTCACGTGTGTTCTCTAGCGCGGCTGGTACCGCGCTACTCACCCACGGGCATTCAGAATTATTACCCTTGATCGGAAACGAATTTGGGGGTTTGTTCCCATTAGGGTCGGAGTTTCTCTTACAAAAATAACTATAGATTACCTATAGGTTTACCTATAAGACGGTCTATAGGAATCTATAGGATTCTATTAGATATCCTATAGGAAATCGTATTGGTAATCTTATAGTTTCTTATAGGATCATATAGGAATTAACCTTATAGGATGTTATAGGATCCTATAGGAAATTATGTTTCCAATTCTCTATAGGATCCTATAGGAAAATTATAGAGATCCTTATAGGATCCTTTGTAGAGATGTCTATATGATGTTATAGGATCCTATAGGAATTAACCTATAGGATGTTATAGGATCCTATGGGAATTGTGTTCCAATTCGCTATAGAATCATATAGGATCCTTCTAGAGATGTCTATAAGGATTTATAAGGAATGTTTTGATAGGCCTCCTATAGGAGATCCTATAGACCTCCGTAGAATTTCCAAAGGAATACGTATAGGATTCTATAGGAATATTTATAGGATGCTATAGGACCTGCTTGTAGAGATATCTACAGACCATTTTGGGCTAAAACATTGCATTACATTACAATAGAAATATATTTATTCAAAAAATGTATACGTACGTACACATACAGATGAAATAGCAATAAATAATATGTAAAATTACAATTTTTACAACTTTATGAATTCATATGACTGAGACTGATCCTAATAGGCTAATAAAAATTCCTTAATTTAAAAGCAATAATTGCATGCACGAATTGCTATACATCATACACATTAAATATATATATTCTTTAAATAATACTATGTTTCAAAACACAATTTGTATTCATGTTAAACAATATAAATGATACATAAAACAAAGAACATGTAATCATGGATGCTAGAGGATGCAAACGATCGAAGTGCCTATATAATTCATGTTCAGTGCTATTCCTTGATCAGACGCTTTCCTTCTGTGTTCAGCAACTGAGTGATAGCTGCTTTGTCTCTTTCACCATGCAACCTAAAAACGCATTATAGGGAGTATATATAATATATATATATAATATAATATATTATATATATATATTGCTATATAATATATATATATATATATATTTGCTATATATATATATAGCTAAGCTATAGTAATTGACAATTAGTGCATGAAATCTGATCATTTAAGACCATAAAGTTTTATTAATAAATTGTATAATGTATATATATATCCGCTTGCATGTCATCAGAAGTAGATATAATATGGCTGCGAGGGTCTATGTCCCCGGGGTACTGCCGGAACGTACCCTGGGTACGGTCCGGTATACCGGAATGTACCCTGGTACTATCTAATATGCCGGACCGTATCTCGCCTATTCATTCATTTATTCAATATTTTATCTATTTATTGTGGATAAGGTAAGCAATTTCGTCATATACCGAATGTGATTTCAATCACACTAGTTTCCGTTGCGTTAACAACTATTTTCCCGTAATTAAACAATTCCAGAACTTTTCCGGCTGCGCGTGTGTGGAGGAGGGCGGGGGCGCAGCAGCAACGGGAGCATGTGCAAATGACTGCTCATACTACCTCACACTTTACCTCGTCATACTCTTCATCAGCGGTTTCGTCTCATCTCCGACGAAAATCGCCAGTATCACCGTAAAAATGAGGTGGGTAATTAGAAAATGAGAAAGCTAATTAGGAAATGAGATGGATAATTAAAAAAGGTGGTAAATAAAATGAAGTAGGTAATTTAAATAAGGAGGTGGTAATTCAAGAGTTTGGAATTAAACGAAATTACAGTAAGCATTTCTTTAACAAGTAAACACCACGCACAGGCGCGCGCACGCATGCACGCACGCACGCACGCATGACGGCATATCTAGCTCTCGTATGCTGCTATTTGCATGATTGACATTTTTAGATGTCGTGAAAAAGACCTGAGTCTCTATCGCTGGGATTTCTTTCTTCTTACTAGGCTTGCTAGGTAGTACAACATAATCCCAAGCATATTAGTAGGTCTAAGTTAAAACAAACGCAAACATACCCCTAACGTACTCTGGTCCGTCCACTGCCATGCTCTATACAAATTAATATACATATACAAAATCGGGTACGCACGCAGAGAGAAAGAGATGAATCCATTGACGATGACCATTTGAATTGATTTTGATTGACGATGATATTGACTTTTTATCTTTTGCTGTCCCTCAGCGTGGCAGTGTTTATGCCGGGACCGATCATAGGTGGCGCCGCGATCGACGCCAGCGCATCCTCCTGGCAGATTGACGCATGCGGTGAAACGGGGTCTTGTTGGATGTACGCAACGATCAACTACGCTACACTCTGGCACGGCATTGCGCTAGAGTTAGTGCGCAGCCACCTGTCCTGTATGCTGATGCGTTTCTGACCGGTGGCACAGGGGAAACTGGCCGGTGAATGGACAACGCCTATGGACAGATGAGAATCAGGGAGAGCGGGAGGGAGGCGGAAGGGAAGAGGAAGGTGGAGATGTTGAAGGACGAACGCCGGCGGGCGGCTACCTAAAATTCTTGTTTGCATGACGCCCGCGTGTTTTTTTTATACGCTGTGTCATTTGCGATAATACGATACGTGTGATGTGTGTGTGGTGTGTGTGTGTGTGTGTGTGTGTGTGTGTGTGTGTGTGTGTGTTTGTTGTGTGTGTGTTTTGTGTGTGGTTTGTGCGTGGTCTGTGCGTGGCGTGTGTGTGTGTGCGTGCCGTAGCGTGCCGGCATGCGAGTGGTGTGGTGTGTGTGTGTCGTGTGTGTGCGTGCGCGCGTGGTGTAATGTATGTGTATGGTGTCTGTATCGTGGCGTGCGTTGTGTGTGGTTGTGAGTGTGTGTGTGTGTGCGTTGTGCGTGTGTGCGTGCGTGCGTACGTGCGTGCGTGCGGCGTGCGTGTGTATGTTGCGTGTTTATGTGCGTGTATGGTGTGTGTGTGTGTGTGTGTGTGCGTGGTGTGTGTGCGTTGCATGCGCGCGCGTGGGCGTGTGATTCATAACGATTGATTTCTCACATCGTCTATCTCCAGTTGAAACTTAAAGTAATTTTGTTTGTTCTTCGATATCCATGTTAAACACGTTCAACGCGAAACACGAGTATAAAATCGTTCGAACGCTGCAAAAACGCACGGCCGCGAGAAACACGATAACTCGTGGCAAAGAAAATAATATAAAAAAAATAAAAATTTTTTGGAATGTCTTTTACTATTTCTTCCTATAGATGGCAGGGGCTATAAACGCTAGACAATTCAATAGGTCAACTGTATAAACTCGCCAGTAGTAGATGAACATAATTTATACAATACTTTACTAGTTGTTTGGAATGTTATTTGGGAGTTTTTGGGACTTGATTGTAATGTGTTTATTCACTGCGGCCAAAGGGCGTTTGACTCGCTCGTGTGTTTGTGAAGGTTGTTTTTTATGTTCTGAAAGTTGTGTTGATTATTGATAGATCACGGGTATAGATTCCGGTGTTTGTTTTGAATGTCTGAGAGTAAATTTATATATATACTTATACTGCCACTAATGTATAATAATTTTATAGCTAGTTAAACCTGCAAAACATTTTTGTGTAATAGGTATTAAGCGGATGAACAAATTATATTAGATAGAGCGATATATATGTAAACAATATTAACGTTTTGCAGTATATTAACAGAATCCAGGTATCATAGAAGGTACAGAAAAGTAAAGTTTTTTCCTCTGTACTCCAGTCTGAAACGTGTTGAGATATATCAGGGTAATAATTAGGGAGGAGTTGTGACATCAATTAAACAGGGAAAATTCGTCATTTCTAGCGCTATATAATCAACCTATACGATTACTACACGTTAACTCATCAAGCTTGAGCTCAAATCGGACAAAGTACATCGCGCCATCATCGTACGAAATCGTTCCTCGGTAGACACCGCGCAATCGTAAGATACAGCCTAACGTCCGACACCGATTCTCCATTCTCTGGCCATGCATCGCAACCCATTACCCCAAATTCAAACAATAAGGCAGCTACCTACACGCGCCTATTGCTAACTGATCGAAGCAGTGGCTCCGCTGGGAGATTAGGCATCAAACTCGCGAGATACCTTGACCCGGTACACGAGCTACACACCGGCCACCTTTTGACAATACTGGCATGCCTTCACGCACGCACGTTAACCGCCATGATTAGCTCCGTCGAGTGTTGCGTCGATAGCTCCAATCCCCTGCGAGCCACACGCCAATTCAAGCTACCAAGACAAACACAGCGACGTGCGCCAGGTGGCTGCTTTTCTGAATTATAGGCGCGCAATGGGGCGTTGGAGTTAATGGCCAGAGAATGGAGAATCGTGTCGTACGTTTAAGGCTGGTATCTACGGATGCGGGTGTCTACGAGGAAACCGATTTCGTACGATTGATGCGAATGTAACTGTGTCCGATTTGAGCTCAAGTTGGATGAATGTTACGCGTAGTAAATCGTAAGTATTATAAGGCTAGTAAATGACGAATTTCCCTTTGTTATTGATGTCACAGCTCCTCCCATATGTATCTACCCTGATATTTATTAATTAAACGCGCCTCTGATTGAAGCTTTTAATATGTACGTTTGCAGCTTTGTGTATTTGTGTTGCTTGTTGTAGTTTTTTATACTTTGATGCTAAGTGATAGTGATGATGTTTAGACTGAATAAAATAAGAAGCGGCAAGCGATGTGGT